ATATATATATCATACGATAAGCAATATCACATGAGCAGCGAGAGCAATAAAGAATGAGAATGTGACGTAACTCCTCATTCTCTATATCACACGAGTGCTGTTTATGTCCGAATACCACGAGTGCAAATGTGCAAATTTTATACTACAGTTCAGTAAATAAGAAGTTAATATTGGGTTATATAGCTAAATTTTGCTAAAATAATGTATATATAATATATATTTATAATTACATATAAATATATATATTTTTAAAACAGGGCTCTAGACTGCGACAATTTTTTGAGAATGTGCGAGTTAAAATTTTACGTGGTCGCATTTGTGCGAGTGCATGGTCTGCGCTGCTCCAAAGCGCCTGCTCCATACAGCGTGCGCTGCAGAGCCGCGGCACATATAGCAGGAGTCCGATTTTACTAATCACATGAAGAGAGGTGCTTTCAGTGCGAGCGCTTCGGGTTAGAACCTGGTTTATACTCGCCGCGTCAGCACGAGCGCGAAGGTGCGCGCTGCATGCAGCAAAAATGATACGAATATCAAGGAAATGATTGCAGATGGAGGATTTGGTTTTCAAGCTCAAGTAAAGTAAAAGACCGCTTCTTAAACCAGAGAAGGTGAACATGCTGATATTTTTTGGGAAAAAACATGCAAGCACTGTCACCGACAGCCAGTTTAGCTTTACTTTTCTTTTTGTTTTCGTTTTGAAAAGCTTGTTATCTTTGCTGATTACCTGACGTTACGCTATGGAGGCTTTCTTTCTTTTTTTAAATTGATTTGATTCCTCAGTGTTTGCTAAACATTCTGTAATTTATTAGTCGGTATATAGCCTAATACAGAATGTGGTGTAGGCCTTTGCCGTGCCTCATCTTATTCGTTTTTGTTAATAAACGTTATGCAAGATAGTTTGTGATTGTAGTAGGCATGGGCCGATTACCGTTTTCAAGGTATACCGTGATTTGAAAATGTCGCAGTTTCAAAACTGCTAATATTTTCCGCTATACTGTTCCTGCGGTATGCGCTGTTTTTCATGTCTCCTCAAAGACTGAAAGTGTAGGAATCCCTCAGGTTGAGTGCAGTGTGGTAGAGAGTAACACGCCCCTCCCCCTCCTGTTGTTGTGAGCGAGCGGTCAGTCACGTGTGTATGATGGCCAAAGGAGATTCTTCTGGAATTTACGCGATCGCCAACCGGCCGTTTATTGTTTTATTGCAGCCGATCTCTGTTCTGGACTTGCACAAACTGCGTTGCAATGCATATCATTTTCCAAATGTCATTTATGTGAAAATATGAAGTCTGTAAACGCCCGTTAACACAGGCCAGAGACGTTGAAGATGGACGCACAGAGAAAAATACTTTTATTTTTCTTCTTTTTAGGGCAGCAGTAGCTCTAGCAGCAAATCAACCATCCACATCAAAAGCTGCAGGACAGCCCACATTTCAGAAACAAATCAAAGAAAAATAAACAAATACTACTGTTCCAAATATTCTGTATGTTGCTCAAAATATATTGTGTTCAGTTTTTTTTTTTACCCAGTCATTTAAAATGAACACATTTTAGAGCTGTAACAACAATACCGTGATACCGTGAAATCGTGATATTTTTGCTTAAGGTTATCATACCGTCAAAATCTCATACCGGCCCATGCCTACATTGTAGCCTACTGTTTTCTTGTTGTTGTGCTTCTTGTTTCTTGTTGTGTTGTACAATGAATCCATCTTTTGTTTTAGTCTTTAAAAGTGAAAGGTGTATAAATATGAGCAAAACAGACAATTATCTTTTCTTGTAAAACGTGACATCAAGATTCCGAATTCGGAAGTGAAAGTGAAAGCGCATGAAGCCCGGCTTATAACACCGCAAAAGAAGAATTCCAGTTAACAAAATTTAAATCACAAATAAGAACAGGTTGAATGTTCGTTACCATATAACTATAAACTATGATAACAATTCATCAGCATGCATTGATTAATCCCATGTTGTAGCAAAAAAAACAAAAACACATTGCGACCAAATTATGTGCTCGTGCGACCAACTGAGAAAGTTAGTCGCAAAAGAGTGACCAGTGGGAAGAATGAGTTTAGAGCCCTGTAAAAAAATATATAATTACATATAAATACTGCTGGGTTTGGTAATTTGTTAGGATTGCGCTCATAGTAACATTTTATATATAACTGCATTAAAATAAATTGGAAAATGCAAACACTGAACTCAATGAAAATTTGCAGCTATTGTTTCTCTTTTTTTGCTACAGGCCTCTTTCAACAGTTTGTAATGATTTTACATCAACCGTTATGCAAATGAGCAAATGACAGTGTTTTGTTTATTTCTATGTGGTTGAAATGTTTCAATTATAATTCAGTTCCACATTTAAATTTTTGTAGTTGCGATGGATGCTCTTGCGATGGATGATCTTGATGAGGCAAGATTCTTGAGCAAGATTTTTGCACCATACATATGTGATAAAATTCTGTTTCCTGTTATGTTGCTTGACTCATCTCAAAACAAATGAATTTGACCTTAAATGAATAATATTTTGCCATTTCTGTGTTTTAGGTGTGCTCCTGGTTTCTTAGGCGAGTACTGTCAGCACAAGGACCCGTGTTACGTGGGATATTGTCTGAATGGAGGAGAATGCACTGTGAGTGTAGCCGGTGTACCTGGAAGCCCCAGCTGTGTGTGTCCTCTGGGTTTCACAGGCCAGCGCTGCGAGATCCAGAAAAACTCCACATGCTTCCCCAAAAACCCTTGCACCAATGGTGGGAAGTGCTCACTTTTCCCCAATGACCAGTACAAATGCCAGTGTGCCCGTGGATGGACAGGTCAGATCTCTCTCTCACTTCGCATCTCTGTTTGTCCCTCTGTCACTTTTTGAAAGAATAAAAACAAAAAAACTCTATTTCAGTAAGGTATTAAACTCACATATTGACTGTTTTGTTATTGTTTTTGTTCTACGGTTGACATTTACTCCTCAGGTCAGCATTGTGAGCAAGAGGACACATGTCTGTCCAGCCCGTGTGCCAACGGTGGTATCTGCTATGCTCTGCCCAATCGTGAATTCTCTTGTACCTGTCCTCCTGGTTACCATGGCCCCCGTTGTCTCAATGACACAGATGAGTGTGCCTTCTCCTCGTCTCTGTGCAAGAACAAAGGCGTGTGTCTGAATATCCCAGGCTCATATCGATGCAACTGCCAACCCGGCTTTACCGGCCTCCACTGTGAGACGGATTACGTGCCCTGCTTTCCATCCCCCTGCCTCAATGGTGGAACCTGCCGGCAGATGACAGACACAACTTATATATGCCACTGCCTGCCAGGTTAGTTCCCTAGGAGAGGAAATAGAAATCTATTTTTATCATTGCAAAAAAAAGCAGAATTCGAACAGAAGCAATATTTGTTCAGATGCAACTGAAACATGTTAGTCAGGCATGCCACAGCTCACCCAATGATTATGTCAGCACTCACTTGGACCTGAGCCAGACAGACCAATGTTTGATGAGATTTTACCACAGCACAAGTAGGAGTGGGTCATAAACCGGTTAAAACAACTAACTGATTTTCAGACATTTCTGTTGCAGAAATGCTAAACGTCACTGCATAGGAAATGGGTGTTCCAGTCACTTCACATGTATAGAGAAAATACAGTAGAACTTGACTAGACACTTTTGGCTAATAATGGTTAAGTGTAGTTACAGTCAAGCTTTTTTTGTGTTTGTTGTGACTGTCTATTTTTATCAACCATAATTTGGGGAATATTGTGATATAAATGTGATACCAAATATAATAAATAGCTTCATTTAATCTCAGTCAGAACAAACAGTCATGTTTCTTCACTGAATAATTTGCTGGTTGTATCTGGATTTGTTTGAGACTAAAACACACAGTGAGACCTTAACTTTATCAGTTTAGCGTTTAAAGAGTGCTGTACTGGCAAAATACAGCAACAGGCCAAAACTCCTCTCTCACCTCAGGCAGCGAATACGAGCCGTGAGAAATGTCTGTTCGTGCCTTAAAGTTGAGTAATTACGTTTAATAATGCCAAAGAGAGACAGAGCATCTTTGTGTTACCGATACCTGGGATTGAGAGTGAGTTGTTCAGGAAATTTTCTCTCTGATTTTCCTGTAATCAGGTTTTAATGGAACAAACTGTGAGGTGAACATTGATGATTGTCCGAATCACCGCTGTCAGAATGGAGCCACATGCATGGATGGAGTGAACACTTACAACTGCCAGTGCCCACCTGAATGGACTGGTATGAAAACGGCTTTATATACTATGTGTGTGTGTGTGTGTGTGTGTGTGTTTGCTTCCTCTTGTTCTCTTTTCCGCTAGTTGAGATGACTCACATATACTAATTCAAGAACAAATCATTTTTGGAACTTGTTATTTTTAATGATTCAGATAAATCATTTCAAAGCTCTGTTTAATGTTTGAAAGCAAAGAAATATCAGAATATTAGTATTGCATGTAAACTATTATTATTAAATGCTGGATTATTTTATTTTAGAGTACAATTGTATTTTTGCAATAGTAGTATATTTCTTTTTTGCTATGTTAAATATTTATATTTTAACAAAATAAAAACAATATTTTGAATTAAAATTAAATGTCAAAATAATCACTATTTGATTTTTGGGTTAAATCATGCAGCCCTTGATTCACAAAAAATAGTTATTTTTAATGATTCAGTCAAACTGATTTATGTGTATTCACTGATTCAATGCAAAATTTGACAAGCTGAATGGCTTTTTTTGCGATTCCTTTCAATGTAGATTTCTCAGTGCTAGAAACCTTCTGTCAAACCTCCTTTAAATTGTCCTTTTGAAATTGTGACCCTTTTGTTTGCAGGTCAGTTTTGCACCGATGACGTGGATGAATGCAGACTGCAGCCCAACACCTGTCAGAACGGAGGCACGTGCAGTAACACGCGCAACGGCTACAACTGTGTATGTGTGAACGGCTGGAGCGGCCCTGACTGCTCTGAAAACATTGATGACTGCGCAGCTGAGCCCTGCACCCCCGGCTCCACTTGCATCGACCGCGTGGCTTCCTTCGTTTGCAGCTGCCCTCCCGGCAAGACTGGTCAGTAAAAACAACCACATGGCCTAAAAAATTACTCTTGGACCAAGTCTCAACAACATAGACAACAAGTTTTTACAGTGAAATAATGCATCTGTAAAATAATGTTTTTTCATACTACAATATAAAACCATCTCAGATCAGTTGTAGTAACAGTAGTGATTCTTTCTGTTTTCAAGGTTTGCTGTGTCACATTGATGATGCCTGCACCAGTAACCCGTGCAAGATGGGAGCTCAATGTGACACGAACCCCGTCAATGGCAAGTTCAACTGTAACTGCCCCTCAGGATACAAGGGCAGCACGTGTGCCGAGGATATCGACGAGTGTGTCATCGGTGAGACAGTTTGCAGGACTTTTGTCTGTCTGTGTTTCTCAGTGTGTCTCTGTATTTATATTCATCTTTCCCTGCACACACATTACAGTGTTTTTTTATGCATTTCATATCTTGCCTAAAACTTTCTAACCCTCTTTTTTGACACCTCAGGGCCAAACCCATGTGAGCACGGTGGTTCTTGTAAGAACACAGAGGGCTCGTTCACCTGTAACTGTGCTCCAGGTTACACCGGTCCACGCTGTGAGCAGGACATCAACGAATGTGGCTCTAACCCCTGCCAAAATGACGCCACCTGTTTGGACCAGATAGGAGATTACACCTGCATCTGTATGCCAGGTACTTACACACACGCTCACACACACTGTAATGAGGAGCATGATGACACGGTTTTGGCTCTATGTCCGCATATTCATCTATTGACTGTGTATGTGTGTGTTTTCAACCATAGGCTTTGAGGGATTGCACTGTGAGATTGACATTAATGAGTGTGCCAGCTCGCCTTGTCTCAATAACGGTAGATGTCTAGACCAGGTCAGCCGGTTTGTCTGCGAGTGTCCTCAAGGTGAGTACAATCACTGGTGCAGTAAAGTTTTTTGACTCTTAATAGCCCACTTTTTACAGCACAATATTTGAATGCCCCCATATATAAGATTTATGGGATCCTCTGGTATTTCTGCTGTAATTGTGACAACGCTGCCTGTTTTTTTTTTTTTGTAACAGTTTCCCGCCAACACAGAAAGCTTCCGAGAGCTTGCTGAACTCGTAGTTCTTGAAATAACATAGGAGCGGCCGGGTCGCCGGCTCGGCTCCTCAGCGAAAAGCTGGTATGCATTGCACCTGCTGCCTTATTATACTCAGGCTGTGATCAGCGCAGCTGGATGAAATAATTGCATGCCAATGTGCATTGGCTCGTTTAGTTTACGCTCGAAATAGATTGGTCTATCGAAGCGATATCCCAATTCGTCGGTCACGACGTGACTCGTAGTGACCGACTGAAAGGGAACCAGAAACTAGGAGTGTTGATATAGTTAATTTGCCATGATTCATTTTGTGATTCAGTTTCAAGAACTGCATGTTCTTCAATAAAAATAATAGTTATTGAGGGTGAAAAATAATAAAAGAAATAATATGATTTCAGTTTGTCATGATTGCATGTTTGTTTAAGCTAATCAGATAAAGTGATAATCATTTGGATTATTTTAATGTATTTTTAATGTTATTTACATTCCTAAATATTAAGGAGTACAACTATTTGACTGTTGAAAATTCATTCAATCATCATAGGAATAAATTGCATTTTAAAATATATTAAAATAGAAAACCGTTATTTCACAGTATTACTATTTTTACTGTATTTTTGATCAAATAAATGCAGCCTTGGTGAACATAAGTGTGCACATTCTTTCAAAAGCATTACAAATATTACCATGACCAACCATTTGATCGATAGTGTGTATTACTATAATTATTAATATTATTTATATAAATAATAAAATAAAAGGCCCTCAAATGGGTGGTTGAGCTGTCCATAGCTTTTAAAAACCTGACTACAAATACTGTGTATTACCAGTATAAACAAGATATCCACCTAATTTGGGGAACTGAGGGAATTAGTTTTTGCTAAAAATCAACATTCTAGAGGGGAAATTTTTGTATAAATTACAGCAGTACATAATGGATCATATCATGAACAATTACCAGTTCAGTCCTGCAAATCATAAAATCAGGACTAACAGTAACATGAACCTGTCACATGGTAATCTTAATTGCATCACAAGTGCATTTGCATTAAATTGCAACTTTTTTCAAATTTGTTATGGCCCCCAGTTGCTCATATCGTCAAATATCAACAAATCTCTGAACAACGTGCTGTCATTTCATTGCTGCAAATAGTTGTATGGGTGAACAGCCTTAATACGTATGTGCTATATTAGATACTGTTCGTTGTCATGATACTGAATCTGTGTGTTTTGACCACAGGTTTCACTGGGGAAATGTGTCAAGTTGACATTGACGAGTGTGCCAGCACGCCGTGCCATAACGGGGCCAAGTGTCTCGACCGTCCTAACGGCTATGAGTGTGAATGTGCTGAAGGTAACATATAAAAATCCCTCACTGCGACCAAAAACAGAGGGACAGATAAAACCACTAACAAAACAAATTTCTTTATAATTAAAATATATAAGTGTTTTTCATTGTAAACTAATTGGCTAAGTTCTCAGAGAACTGACCTCATTGTACTAATCCCTTGTCTTATATGCTGGTCTCTGTAGGTTTCACAGGGACATTGTGTACGGACAACATTAACGACTGTGAACCCAAACCCTGTCACCATGGCGATTGTATAGACGGAATTGCTACCTTCACATGCGAGTGTCACCCAGGTTACATGGGCCCCATCTGCAGCGAGCAGATACGCGAGTGCCAGAGTGACCCCTGCCAAAACAGAGGACGATGTGTTGACCTGGTCAACATGTACCAATGCAATTGCCAGCTAGGCACTTCAGGTGAGTCTCACACTTGATCTTTACATCTCAAAGGCTTTTTAAGAGGCCATATACGACATCTTTGAAGCATTTAATGAAGTCTAATTATGATAACAGCAAATGTCTTAATTTAGTATATTATGACTATTATCCACCATTTAGAATTAGACTGAATTGTCACTGTACATTTGAGATGTGCGCCTGATCTCTATTTTTATTTGCTAATCTTTATTTAAAGTATGTGATATGTGAACTTTGGTGGTAAGTAGGCATGGGACGATAACCGGTTTCAAGGTATACCGCGGTTTGGAAAAGTCACTGAAAACGCCGCCCTTGCGTTTTCGTGTGGACAGCGAATCCGTATATTTTCTGAAACGATGACGTCATCAGCCCACGTCTCACCCCTAGTCAGACACCGCTACGTCACGTAACAGCAACAAAAACATGAACAAACACTGAACGATTGTCTTTTTATTAACTAACATTAACACAGATTAATATATGTATTGTTCCATGTTCGTTTGTATACCGTGCGCAAGGTTTATGCGCGTAGTCCAAGTCTTCTTCTCCATTTTTAGTGTATCTCTGTGGCAGAATTGCAGCGCCACATGCTTGTCTGGCATGTATACTACATCGTTTTGTGTCGGTTTTGTGGTTTCGTGTGGACGCAGATATTTCTTGAGACGGGGGAAAAAAAGATCGGATAGGGAAAGCTCTGGCTTCGTGTGGACGTAGCCTCAGTTACACTGTCCAACAAACAAAACAAAGCTCGCTACACTCTCCTGCTGGACACTTCCTCTTACTACACACACACACAGATATAATCATTACTCGGACTTCTTTAGAGACCTTTCAAAGGCTCCTGTATAAATTAGACCAGTTTTATTTCACCTGCTTGTGTCCCCATTGACTATTTTGTCATTTGTCTTTGTTATAGGTGTGAACTGTGAGATTAACCATGATGACTGTGCCAGTAATCCCTGCCAGCACGGGACCTGTGAGGATGGAATTAATGAGTACAAATGTTTGTGCAAACCTGGATACACAGGTTTGTTCATGCACATGCACATACATAAATACACACATGCAGATGTGCTTCATTCATGAATCATGATCAGAACTAAGTACTTTGTAAATAGTTTGATATATATATATATATGCTCTTTTCTGCTTTTTTCTTTAATAATAAAACAACAAAATGCATCAATTCAATTATATCAATGCACTGCTTTTATAAAGCATTCAATCAGTCTTATTCATTAACCACACTTTCTTTCTTCTCAGGGGAGCGATGCAACGAGGAGATAAATGAGTGCAGTTCGAACCCGTGTCTGAGTGGAGGGACGTGTGTGGACAAAGTAAATGGGTTTCAGTGTATGTGTCCAATTGGGACTCACGGTCCTCTGTGTCACTCAGGTGCAGACCATTGCAGCCCCATGCCCTGCCTGCATGGAGAGTGTATTGAGCAGCAGGATGGGTAGGAACAGCTTTTATCTTTCTGTCAAATTGGCCGATACTGATTATTAGTAGCACAACCTACTCCCATTTCCTGTTATAATCTGTAAAGAGATCAATAAGCATTATTTAATTCTATATAAGAACTGTAAAATTGATTAACATAGCAAATACATGTTGCATTTGTAGCATTGCTGTAAGAGGTCATTTTACTTGCCTTAGTATAAACCATCTATGGCCAGTTATCTCTTTCATGTCAACTAGTCTCATCTTCTGTCTGTGTAGGTATCTTTGCGCATGTAAGCCAGGCTGGGAGGGTAAGAACTGTGAGAGAGAGAAGAACGAGTGTCAGTCCAACCCGTGCCAGAACGGTGGAACCTGTAATGACCGTCTCAATGGCTACACCTGCGTATGTGTCCGTGGATTTGCAGGTAAAGGCGTGTAATCCATTAGCCTTTCTAAACAAAGTAATAATGATGTTCAATTCCGTTCCCAACTCCCTGATTTGCCCTTTTTTCTCTTTCAGGTTTGAACTGCGAGATAAATATCAATGAATGCGAGTCAAACCCTTGTATGAATCAGGGAACCTGTGTGGATAGAGTCAACAGCTACATCTGCCACTGCACTCTGCCTTACACAGGTGACACACATTTACAGTGCACAGTTTTACAATGATTTTAATTACAGAATCAGCACTTTTGTTGTCAAATTTTATGTTTAATTAAAATATTTCAGTCCCAACATGTAATACAGGGTCCTTAAAAAGTCTTAAAATGTCTTAAATAACGTTTTCCTAATATAAGGCCTTAAAAAGTCTTAAAATGTCTTACATTCAGATTCGATGGGTCTTAAATATTTTTGGTCACATTACCTATAAAATGTCTTCAGTCTGACGAACATGTTTACAATCATTGGACAGACCCGCGGTAGTTACTGCGTCATCTGACAGAAATGCAGTAGCAGAATACAGGTTTAACTATATTTTTTTTGTTTACTGTTCTCAATAATAACAATAATGATAAAAATACAGGTCAAGCTGCAGCTAGCTAATTAAAAATTTATTTATTTTTTTTACTTGCCCGACCGGACAAATAGCCTGATTAAAACTTAAGTGACAAAAAATAAACCAGTGACACATTGAAACACAAGAACGATTCTTCTGATTTTATGACATTACGTAAACAGCGATCGATAATGGATAGTGTATTTCTGTTATCATGGTCGTGCTGTTGAGGCTGCGGGTCTCTTTGTGAGAGACGCCAAAACAAATGAGCATAACAACAAACATAAGGAAACTCAGAAGAAACAAACGGAGGTATAAATTCAAAATTGTTATTTAGTTTATTTTAGTTTATTCATAACATGATATAGTTAACTTAAGTAACATACCATGATGACAAGGGGGCTATTTTGCTGAATATTCTCACGATTGCAAATGTTACATTGTTCAATAAACAAGTAGTTGAGTAGTTATTAAGTTACTTACATTTTAGACACAATATTTACTGTCTTGCTCTATTTCACCAACGAAAATAGTTTTACACAGTAATCACAGCAGAAGTTTTGCACATTCTCCAAGCAACACTCGGCTATGTTTTGTTACTGAATGATTCAGCGTTCTGAACGAATCGGTTTAATGAATGAATCACTCACTCATTAAGTGACTTACCGCCACCTACTGGTGGTTTAGTATGTTGAAAATTATGCATCCCCCCCACCATTTCTTAATTGTATATTCATAAATGTATTTAAAACATTAATATCATAACATTATTTATTGTAGCTGTAATTTTGCAGTGTAAATGATTTAATCTGACTGGTAACAGCCCTATAGTAGCCTATATATTGAATTAATTGATAAATTGTAATAACTTGACATGAAAGATGATGCAAACACTTAAAAAGGTTAAAAAACAGGCCTTTATAGAGGTAAATAAAAATATGCAGATTTAAGTATGTAAAAGTTGATAGAACACTGATGAAAATATTGCTTCAGAATAAATTTTTTACACCACCAAAAATCTTGGTGATGCTGTAATTTTGTGGGTATATTGTGTATGGAATATTGTCTGCTGATATGAATAATTCACTGTATATCGTGGTAATATAATTTATGACAGTGATGATATTGTTTTTTTCCACATTAAACACATTAAATATTACATATATGTATGTAATATAATGTGTATTTCCATTACAGGTTTAGGTCTTAAATTTCAAATGAGGTGGTATTAAAAAGGTCTTTAAAAGTCTTAAATTTAGCTTGTTCATATCTGTAGAAACCCTGTAATAATACGATTATAATTATTTACACTACTTTTCAAACGTTTGGGGTCGTAAGATATTTTCATGTTTCTGAAAGACAGTAAAAACAATAATATTGTACAATATTAAATATATTTTCAGTTTTAATATGTTTTAAAATGTAATTTATTCCTATGATGCCAAAGCTGAATTTTCAGCAGCCGCTACTCCAGACTTCAGAGTCATATGATCCTTCAGAAATCTTTTTTCTGTGTGTCGATTTGCTGCTCAAGAAACATTATCAGTGTTGAAAACAGTTGTGCTGCTAATTATTCTTAATATGTTTTAATAAGTAAATGAATAATGTTAATCAATATTCATAATATTATAATTATTAATAGGGTTGGGCGATTTGACCTCAAATTTGACCTGACAAAACCGATTAATTGAACACTCTACCTCGATTACGAGTATTTAACGTTTATTTCATGATTATTTTTTATTTATTTTTTATTTTTTTTGCCCTCATAGTTCATTAAAGGGTTGTAGTGTAAAAATACTCCACTATTAACTCTAATATTCAGTACGATTATCAAAGCATAAATCCAGTAAATTGCTTCTATCAACACCTCCAAAGCTTGCACAGACATATACCACTTCCTGGATCAACATTTTACTCCATAACATTATGCAGTTTTCATTTATATGCTGTCTATTGCTGATGATTGCATTTTTTTCCATATGCATCTGTTTACATAAGAGATCACTCGTTTCTCCGTCCTGTTCACGTGTGTTTTTGTTCGGGAGGTTTTGTAATCGTTCAGAAGATGTGTAATAGCATTGAATATTTCGAACAACTGAAATCTCATTTCTGAAATCTTAGAACTGAGATCTCTGAAGGCTTAAGAAAAAAGTCACATTTCAGTTTTATTGTAAAAAGCAAGTTTCCTAAAAAAGAAAAGAAAAGAAATGAATATTGCCATGTCAAAAGTAGAAAATAACCAGCATCTCTTGCAAACAAAATAGCCTACATTTTAAATATTGTCATGTGAAAAGTCGAAAATAACTTGTATCTCTTGTAAATTAATAGGCTATTATTTTAAATAATGCAATGTGAAAAGTAGAAAATAATAACTTGCATCTCCTGTAAACAAATGTTTTAAATAATGAATGTATGCAAATAGAACACTGCTGATTAAGAGAAAGAGCATGGCACCATCTCATTGATCTTGTCCTGACACTCTATATGTGTATTTACTCTAGGTTCTTACTGGCTGTTCACACAGAACACGTCTTTGTGTCTAAAAAACGCGAGACGCAGTGCTCAGGAATGGTAAAAAAAAAAAAAATGCAACACAGAATGCCTACTCCGTTGTGTTATGTCAACCTGCTACTGTAAACAAAAGCTTGCAGTGCTTGCCCCGCCTCCGGGGTCTTCTGGTTGATCCACTGTTTTGGAACTGACATTGATGAGCGGCGCTGCGTGTAACTGTGTGTAATGCTGCGTTTAACACCCCACTTACATGCAAGACGCTGCAAAACATGCGAGCGCAACGGTCATACACGTCCGTATAGCGCAGACGCGGTAGTATGTTTTTAAGGGGAAAGTATTAATAGGATTAAAAAACAAAATAACCGACATGGGAAAATTACGTCAGTTAAGAGGTTCTGAATTTCGGTTTTGATTTATTTTCGATTAATCGTCCAGCCCTAATTATTAATACATCTTTTAATTCATATACATATTAAAACACTCTATAATTTATCCACAACTGACTGTACTGCTCGGTTCTCAGGGAGACACTGTGAGGATAAGTTAGTCCCCTGTGATTCTCAGCCCTGTCAGAGACGAGGGGTTTGTCAGCCATCCCTGGATTACACCAGCTATACCTGCCTGTGCCACAGCGGATGGGAAGGTAAGTGCTTTGAGTTTGTGTGTGGGTGTGTTTTCATTCCTCAAGAGTATATTTGATTTAGAGACAACCACATATAACACCTTTACTTTGATCACTGATCACATGATATTCCCCGTAGTAGATTTAATTAATGAAAATCTATCCAAAACATTTCAAGAGTGTCTGTCTGATATATGTGTGTAGGAGCCCAGTGCACAGAGGATGTAGACGAATGCAAGAAAAACCCGTGTCAGAATGGAGGTCATTGTCGGAACACAGTGGGCAGCTACAGATGCGAGTGTCAGCCTGGATACAGTGGGGTCAACTGCCAGACTAACATCGATGACTGTAGCTCCAGTATGTGTCATTACTACACAGATTCATTCACATGTTGTGGATGAGTGACAGACAGTAAATGCATCCTTGTGTTGACATCTTCTGTTTGAAGGAGAGTAGTGTAGCCTAGTGGTCAGAGATCAACTAAATGACCAAAAAAAAATACGTTTAACGTCACAAGGAATATATCTATATACATGTATATACATATAATTTATATAAATATATATATACAGTATACATATATATATATATATATATATATACATATATATATATATATA